TAAACTTTTGTAATTTATTGAATGATTGAATGATTACGGTTATTCAATGTCTTGAAACACAATTGTTAAAGCGAATCGAATTAAACTTTGTACTCACCCTGGTAATTTATTTGAATAATTAAATGATTATAGTTAATTGTACATTCTCTCGTTAAAATAAAAGATTTGAAAATTATTTATTGAATGATTATGATAATTTACAGGATGATTATAAAAATATGATTTTCACTAATAATCATTCAAACGAACAATAATTACAATTTTTTAAAATAAGATTCATTAGGTTGATCAAAAATTTTCCCACAATTTGTTCACATTTTTGGATCTGCTAATCAAAAATGGTTAACGTTAAGTACAAACCCAAAATTCAAAGTAGGTCATAACATAACTTTGTCGTCACTATCACACATCATTATGATGAACATAATATTTTTTTTATACTCTGGTCACGTTTTTTGATGACCAATCAAAATCGTTTAAATGGACAAACCCAGAATTAGGTGGTTATTGAAAATATTTTGAGCTGTTTTGTAACGAATCAAACGAATCAGTCTTATTATAGGATTACTCTACTAATATTATTAAAAGGATCATTGTGACGTTGAATTGTATTTTTTCACACGCTTGAATCATGTTTGACACATGATCTAATTTATCCAATTACTGCACAGCATTTTGTCTTGCGTTATTTTAGTATTGTTTTATTTAAAATTAGGAAATGGATTGAATGTCGCAATAGTCACAAATTTGGAGGTCGTACGTAGTTTTTTTTTAAATTGATTACTAAAGATTTATAAATTCAAAATCAAATGTTGACTATATATCTGGCTTTAGACGATCCCAATAGTTACATAAAACAGGCAATGATCATGAGAAAAAATATGCACCAATCAGCTTTAAGATTTTGCCTTCGTTTTAGATGCCAGTAAAACCATACACTAACGTTCCTGGTATCGCTAATTATGATGATCGGGTATCCGAATTATATCCGCGGATATCCGGATTTTCCTTAAACCGGATCCAACCACTATTTTATAGACACTTGTTCCTATTAAAATCAATAGCCTGTGAAATCCAATAAAACATTAATCTACCATGTCTGTTTCCACTATATAGTTTATGATTTCGAATCCGATAACTTGTCAGTAATGATACAAAGTTGGTTCACTGCATATAGGTTTTGAGAGCTCCACGTATATTATACATAATTACATAATGCATTATGTGATGAAAGCCAAAAAAAAACTTGCATTCGCCGGTCCCGGCCCTAGTGAGACTGCTACCAATGGAATTTTCGGTCCGTCCTCGGTCCCAAAACGGTCTTTTAATAATATATTGGTCAAAAATGACATAATTATTATTGTCAGATGTAAATAAAATCATATGGTCTGTGTTACACCTGATCAAGTAGTTTACGGCCCCACGGTCCTTATCGGCCCGTTCTGGGACTTGTCCTTTTCAGGACCGAGTGCATACATAGGACTGAGTGTCTATGTGCGTAAAATTGCATAATATTTGCTAATCATAGCTTTTTATAAATTTCACGTTGAAGCTTAATACAGTCGTCCCTCATTAATATCAACCCGTTAATATTAATCTAGGCCATAAAATGAATTTCTATATAAAAATTATATCAAAACACCCTCATATATCAACTTTAAATATGAGCGCTGCCAAGAGAAAAAGGCCGATCGATAATTAACCGTCTATAAAAAATTTATTATGGTGATAAAAGTCCGATCGGCCTTTTTCCCTTGGAAGCACTCTTATATTCCCTCATTAATATCACTATCAATATGAATATAAAAGCGATCTAAATGGATTGATATTAATGAGGGTCTGTAATTAAATTTTAAACAACATTAATCGAAAACATAGAAAATTATGAATCGAAATCATATTATTGTACTCATTTTATTTGCTACGTTTTCTGTGGTCAATTCTTTGCCACAGCAACTTGTTAAAAGAAATGATTGGGGAACATGTTTCACTTCTGAAGGTGCCTTTCCACGCCTTAATGTAGCAACCTCATCGGGTTCTATAGTTGAAGGTCAACAAGAAACATTTACAGTTTCTGGGCCTCCTCTTCCGAATGATATCAATGAAGATGACAGGTTTTACATATGGTTTGTCGATGATGATGATGAAAATAAGCAATTTCCTATCTCTGAAACACCTGTCTGTGGAACAAATGGTCTTCCTCAATGCCCAATTAAAGCTGGAACAGACTTTACCGTATATATGAATGTAATGGTGCCTACTTTTCCTGACGCCTTCGATGTTTATGCTGTAATTGGTCTTAGACCTGATAGAACTTTAGGGTGTGCATATACTGTTGAGTGGCCTAACCCACCTAAGTTTGTATAGTGAGAAGCATTATCTTACTTTATTATTTTTTTGATTGTTTATAATGTAATGCTATTCTTCATTAGATTAATATTTTACTAATACTGTGAAACCTCTATAAATACAACCTCAATAAATACACACTCACTAAATGAACTTTTTCTTATTGTTTTCTAAATGCATGTTAAAATTCAGTCCCAAAAGTGTGCGTTTTATTGTATTTTCTTTTTCAATATCTATATGTATCTTAACTTGCAACTTTTATTAGTGTTGTACTGTAAATGTTGTTTACCCATATCTGTACTAGTTTTAACCTGGTGTGATGCACTGGCTTTAATATTATTAAATAATAAACTTAATATAATAATTTTTTACATTATTTTAATTAAATGCTTAGTTATTATATAATATAATTATTATCTATTTATTGTGTTATGATAATAAATAACTATCAAATAATATTATATGCAGATACATGATGAGACTTATGAATTTATGGATACGTAGGGCTCGCAGAAAAAATCTGCAAAATTTATTGATTCAATTAAATCGAAAAATGATAATCTTGAGTTGATTTGTATTTGAATTATCATAATTTCTTTGTAATTAAGATTTTATTGGTTCAATTTGGAATTATCGTAGTTTCTATTGAGTTGCTGTTATTTCTATTGCAAGTTGCTGAAGTTAAAATTATCATAATTTCTATTGAGTTATACAAAATTATATTACAAAACTTGCCATTTTGGTGACGCATTATATGAAGATTAAGCTGGCTTGCATTGTAATTTCGCAAGCTTCATCATAAGTTATTGTAAAAAATTGAAACAGAACTTACTCATTATTCTAGTAGCCACAATATATAATGAGATGGTATTTTAGGTTGCCCCTGTATTTCGTAGTGCCGGGGTTCAATGAATATCACGCGTTTGATCATGTTACTGATCGTGGAACGTGATCAGATGTAAACAATGAAATAAATAAATATAGGTTCGATCTTGCAGATCGAACCCATGCTTCGTTTTCTTAAAGAAGAACCTGTGCCTAAGTAATAGACTTAGTACCTTGAGTTAGTAAGGTCGTGAGAAGTTATTATACTGTAGAGGGCAGTGTTTAGAGTAAGAAACGTAGCTGTGAACAAGCGAGTGCAAGACTAAACAAACTTCTGAGCAGAATTGAGTGTATAACCATATACATTCATTAACCCCGCTACATATAATGTGATTAATATTTGGTTTACATTCAAATTACTGTGATTTTTATCATAAATTACTGTAAAAAAATTCTGTTATAAGTATACTTGCTATTCTGATAGCCATAGTATGTGAATTACATTTGAATTATTATGATTTCTATTGCTAATTATTATAAAAATTTTGGTATAAACTTACTCGCTATTCAGTGACAGGAATATGTGGTTAAAGTTGACATAGATTACTGTAAGAAGGTTTGTTACAAAATTTACTTTCTTTTCCAGTGATATATCATTATAGAATTTGTATTTTGATAAATTATTGAGATTTCACTATGAATTACTGTAAAAAATTATATTAAACTTACTCACTATTCTAGTATTGACAAAAAAGAGATTAGTTTGTATTGGAACTGCCAAGATTTTTATCATGAGTTACTATAAAAATTCTGTTGCACACTTACTTAACAAGTTTGTTTGCAACAAAATTATTATGACATTTATCTGTTAAAAAATTTTGCACAGAATTAACTCATTATTCTGATAACTATAGTATGTGGTTAAGGTTGAGTTAGTTCGCATTAGGATTATTATTTCTATCGTATGTTGCTGTACAAAATTTTGTTACAAACCTTACTACTTTAGCAATACATAATATGTTATTTACTATCTAATTGATTTAATATCAAAGGCACAAAGCATATATAATACACGAAAGTTGATTTTTTAAAATCAATTCTTGATTCGCCATATCTCAATTTTTATATATTGATGAATAAATGACGACATTAATCATGCAAACGGTCAAATATCACAACAATTACATATTATATAATCATCAAAATGTTGTAATAATTGCCCAAAAAAACACAAATTTGTACGGTAACCATAACATATTTCAGAAATATTGTAAATAGAGAAGCAATAATAAATTACAGTTCTAAATAAAAGAAAGAATGGGGTATATCTAGTAACTAATGTTTATAAAATGAAAATTTGCTTATACAATTTATAATGTAATTAACAATAAAAGCTTTCAGAACTTGATTGGAAATAAAATAAACTTTACCAGTACGATCACATGAAATGTGGAGGGATGGTTTGTTTAACTTTTTGGTGCGCTATATTTTTCCTTGATTTAAAAAGTATTATAATCATCATGTTTTTTCCTATTTTAGTAGGTATTATGAAAATATCATATATGCACGGGTGTGAAAATTTGATGATACAGTATGTAATTATTATATCATGATCATATGGTGGGAATATTCAATGACTATAATTTATAACAAGGTAAAGCATTATGTTAGAGCAGGGGATGTGAGAATTAACTAAGAGTAATTGATTATAGAGGGAAAAATTGTATTTACTTTGTATGCTAAAAGAATATAAAGATTCTTGAATGATTATATTAGAACAGTAAGCAATATAAATAGTATATTCTATAATATAAAGCATAGCATGAGTGTATAGAAATTTTAATAAAGAAAATGCTAATAAATTTTTCACCAAAAAATAAAAATTTTGTTAGTCATAATCAGTATTGGCCAATTTGGCCAATTTCATATGTTTTTTTGGCTGAAAATGCAAACCAAATTTTGGTTAACTAATAAAATTAGGCATAATTATGAAACTATGAAGATACAGTTTATATTATGAATCTTTTGATCAAATAAGTATACATTATTCATTGATTCAACCTGTGCAGACCAATTAATGATCACTAAACTTAGACTAATGGTGCTCTTAATGTAATTAAATAACCATCGCGATCATGCATAAGTACTACGATTAATTTCTTATTGAAGATCCCTACTGTAATTTTGCTGAAGTCTGACAAAAGAGATGGCTTCAACCTTTTTTTTTCTTATCGCGATAATGAACCACTTACCGGTTAAACTATTTCCCATCAATTAAAACTTTGAGTTCTGACCTATAATTTGTGTGTTTGAGAAAATCTTAAATCATATGAATAAAAATTAAAATGAGAAATTAGTTAATACGTATATTACAGTAATTGATAATGTTCAATTGACTAAATAAGAATGAAATATCATGTGAAAACTTGACATTATATGAAAAGAGTTTTGTAGACCAATTTCAACCAATTAAAGATTTTTAGAGCTGTTGACGCTTGTATGGCTTCTTTAAATACTATACTGCTTTAAATTCATCATTACAAGTTTCCTGATATGTACCTGATATCTGCCATAGATCCGCCAAATACCTGCTGAATATTGGCAGAATATTGGTTTTGCTGTTATGTTGCTACCTCCTAATATCTTACCAATATTCAGCAGGTATTTGGAGGATCTATGGCAGACTATCGGGTACATAACAGGAAATTTGTCTCCCGGTATGCACCCAATATTCATTTATTCAGCCTGTGTAAGTTATCAAAGTTTAAATTTACAGAGCTTCAATAATTGGTATGTATATCAATTTCTGGTAGTGTAAATTAAATTGGAGATTAAAAAGAGGTAAGATTACTATAATCATCTAATATTTGGTTCATAAAAAATATGCGGTAGCAATTATATGCATTTTGATATTATAAAGAGGGATTTTATTAAATTATGTGATTCTATGGAGGTTGTGATTATAAGGGAGGCGATTATAAAGAGGGAAGACTGTAACGGATTTGTTATTCAGAAAAAGGCTATTATTAAAAAGTAAATTCGGTTTGAAAAAATATCTTCTTGAATTATTGACACAGACGACGAAAATTTTATAAACTTTGTGAAATCTGTGACATTAAAAATATCATTAACTTTTATAATCGAAGTGTATTGTAAAATACAAATATTACTTGGCAATTTGAGAGAGCTAAGACCAGTTTGACAGTTCAATAAAGCAGGCAAAGACATCGAACGATTGTATGTTTCATGTAATAAAAATTGTTCAGACTGCTGATCCAAACCAAAATGAGCATAGACGACAAATTTAGCGATAGTCATCTTTTGAACTGGCATACAAAGTATCGTTTATGATTGAATAGACAATTGCATGCTGACCGCTGATTACAGAAAAAGCCTTATAAGAAGATAAATTATAACCATCCCTTGGCATCTTGATGAATCCATTTGATATAGGTGTAGCGATATCATCAATTTTTCTAGCGATATATAAATTATTAATTTAAAATCATTCATTAGTGCAAAAATTCATATTTTGTTTAAAAACTTATGAGAAAGAATATTTCATCAATTTTAGGTCATTAAATTTATTATATGCAATCATAAAACTTTTATAAATATCACTATAGTCTGTAATAAAATATAGATCGTTGTCAGAACGATTGAAATGATCGAATAATACAAAAGTGCTACAAAGAGATGTAATCAAATGCATAAATGTTATAAAATTGTGTAAAGAAGAAAAAAGAATAGAAAATATATTTACTCTGTTGTAATTTTTCCTTCTAAATTTATGATAGTTCCGTGGATGGTAATATCATCCTTTGCATCAGATTGACTATAATATGTTAAAATGACATAGTTTGTTGCCAGAGGATGTCTATCCTCGATGATCCAAGTACTTGAATTTTTAAAATTTATAAAATCCTCATAATTTATAGAAACTATACTTCCATTTTGATAAATGAGATGTAATAATTCTGGGTTATCCTGTCTCGAAGTAACTATTAAAAGCTTCCCAACATCATGTTGTCGAGCTGTAACTAAATTTCCATATCTAGTTAGATCATATTCAATTTCACTTGCTTCGCTACAATTTATTATCAACGTAGCAAGGAATATTATTATAGCAAGGTGCCAAATTAATATTTGCGATAATTCATGATCAAGTTAGATGATTCCTTTTCTTTCTTTTTTATTTTCTTATAAGGTGAGTATGTAGCAAATATATAATTATATGGTTAATTAATATGCATGAGCGACGAATATAACGTAGTACGGAATTTATGATAGTATGTACAGTTTGTAAAAGAAATTTCTTAACAATTTTATAATTCGCCATATCATAACAACTGAAGAGGCCACTATGAAAATCATACTATCTTATGAATCTTGCTAGGAAATCCCTCTTCAGGATTTTCCGATCGGGCTAATTTGGTGATTTTCATAGCAAAGATGCAAAAAACTTTTAAAATAATATTACACACTTCCAAATAAGACAATTTGAAAATGGGTCGGCAATATTGGATATGCAAGTGTACAGCATAATAACTGTGTTATATAGTTTTTCAAAAATTAGAAACTTGAAAATTAACCATAAAGTTTTTGCGACTATTGTACACCATAGATTGCTTTGCATTCAACACTTACAAATAAACTCCTGATTGAGTAATTGTGCAATAAGTAATTACAAATCTATAGTTTGTATTGATTCGTTATTTTAAAAATTGAGTCAAGACTTATAGATAGCCTCATTTCATTTTCATAATCATCTCCGTTTTACAACGCCAATATAGAATAATGTTATATATATATAAATAATCATGAACATACAAAAACACATTAGACAGAACTTTTACCGAAATACCTGAAAAAAGGATCAATATTTATAAAATCTTGGATCTTCTTACCATAGTGATTATTTTATTATCAAATTATGGTAAAGTATATAATTTTAGTGAATATGTGAATATAAAAAGAGTACTTCAGTTTAGTGATGAAAAACTCTTATTATCTACGAATACTACAAATAATGCAAATTTATTACATCTAGTTTATCCAAATGGAAGTATAGTTATGAAGATAACATAAATTATGAGAATAATATAAATTTTAATAATAATTCCGAATGGATTTCGAAATTTGTTTACCTTTGAAAGATAATTATATTTTATTCACATATTCTGACCGAAAAGATCCTTTAACAGATCTCTCAATACATGAAACAATAATAAATTTACAATGAAAAATAATGTTTCGCCATTTTAATTATAGTTTGGGTTGGGACGAATAGTTTTTTCAAATTATGATGGATTCCCTCAAAGCTTTTTAATATCATATCAAAAGAACTATCTAAATTGAACGAAATATACTTACTCGTAAGTTGCAGATATTTTTCATTAGAGAATACTCGAGGCCTTTCCTTTCGTCAAGCTATTTTAACAACAAACCCATGACGATTAACAAATTTGCATTTTTTTAGATGATGGAAACGTTATACAAGAATCATATGGGTCTATTAGACCATTGATGGATGATTTCACATTTAGTAGCCATCTATCTTTTTCAACATCTGATGGCCAATATGCTATAGTCTACGTGAATGAAAGTATTGACAGAACTTATGGAGATACAATATATTCAATTTATGTACATTTTATAAATGATGATCAAGATCAAACTTCTGAAGAACATTTGCTTTTTCAAGGTTCATCAGATAATTCAGTAACCGCTATTCAAAGTAATCGGTGCACTTTTGAACATTACTTAGTAAACTTCCCGATAATGATTAAAAGAGTAACTGTAATTATAACATTTTCATCATCCGGAAAAGCAATCCATCGTGATGTCATTTCGACTAATTTTAGTTTCGAACATATTTCGTCCTTTCCATTACTATATGGAGGCTTCACTTCAATCGATCAGATAGGTTTATCTTCCCAAGTTAATGTTTATAATTTCAATTATACAAGTAGTTACAAACTGTTTGAACTTCTTAACGAAACCATAGTAGATTATGGTATTTATAGCAATAATACTTTATGGCTTACATATGGTAATAGTACGACCGGTCTTAAATTAATTATGTTAGATGTAGAACGATTTTCTAACGATTGTGAGTACTATATATTATTATCATTATTGTGATTTTCATTATATTTGACATTCTATTTTATTCCTTCAGCCGGTTATAAAAATAGAGCAATCTTATCCATATATCCAACATTAAACATGACAGTACCTCTATCCTATATAGATCACTTCAATATTACTTTTTCAGTTCCAATAGTTACGTCTTCTGGAAATATTTCAATTTATCAAGTAGTCGATCAAGATAAATTTTTATTACGTCAAACATACCCCGTATCTTCTTGCAAAACTTTACTTAGTACGTTTAATCGAGTTAACAATAATTATACTATCATGGCTAATTATAATTTCGTTAAAACACTTTCGTTTAATGAACCATTGAAAGGAATTGATCAAGGAATTTGGAATGTAAAAACACCTCAGAGTAAGTATAATTTATGCTTTATTTCATAATTTATTCCTTATATTAACATATGAATCCTTTTATTTCTTTATTTCCTTATTCAAGCATATAATTCTGCTGTTTCCTGTAAGTTTAATACAAGATATTTTTTCATTTCTCATATCAATATTCATATATCTGATCTTTTAAAAATGCCACAAAAATTATTTTCATAGCTACGACTGAAGTTTTAATGCGTTTGAATCCTGATGGCACAAAATTTTTTTTATGATCAAGCAAATAAGACTCAATTACTTAATGATATACTGCAACAAATAAAACAAAGCATCCCTTTGAATGATGATAGATTAAAAATAACCAATAACGTCCAATTAGATCCTTTGGATTCTACCAAACTTTCATTGAATTTTCTGTTGATAAGACAATAAATCCTTCAAAAGAGCCTAGTACATTAAATGACATTATAATAAACAAACACATAAGTGCACTTTCGGATAAAAACTATATGTTTTTTTTGATGAGCTTTATGCAGTATATAAAATCTATGTGCACAATGTGCTCAGAGCACATGTTTTTAGCTAGATATGTGCACGAAATTCACAAGATTTCTAGCCACATAGTGCACCAAATTTATTAATAAAATCTTAACTATGTGCACATAGAGCACATTGTGCACACAGTTTATTTTTATATATGTAAATTAAATAGATATTTATATAAAATGGTTTATAGTATTATAAAAATTCATAGTGCACTAATTTTCAAAATTATTCACATAAGTTAAGTGTACAATGTGCACAATATTCACATGTTTTTGAGGTGAGATTTTATACACTGGCTTTATGGATTTCAACCAAAACGTAGGTAATATTTTTTCAACTATCTATATATGCAATTTACTTACCTTTCATCTATTTAACATAATATAAAACAACAGCAAATTTATGATTGGAGGTTAGATATAAATTGTTGATTTTATTAATTGCTATCGTTTTACTGTTTGTTATCAATTTGTTAGCTAAAGGACGATATCCAAAAGTATATATCAGATAAAGTATGGCGCCATAATTAGCCAATTATTACAATTATATTTATTACATACATTTTTACACAGTTTTTTAAAACCATAATTGTAATAATATTTATTACATGTAATATTATTATTACATGTAGTAATATTATTACATGTAATATTATTATTACATGTAGTAATATTATTAATATAATATTATTATAATGTTTTGTTATTTTTACTAAATAAATACGTTAGTCACGTGCATCTTGTGCACTTGACAATTCGTTTATTCTGAATCAAAGACAAGTATCAAATTTTTTATTTTATTTTATTTCTATTTTTTATTTTTTATTTTTTATTTTATTTTTTATTTTTATTTTTTTTATTAATTTCATCATAATCATATACTTCCCTATTATTTTAAATATCCAAATCGATCCCTTGCGTATACAAGGTCCCCAAAATAGTAAACCCACGCTCTATGAATATAGGTCCTTCTATTTGAGATGGTTTAATTCCTGTTAAGCACTTACAACCCATGGCTACCACAACGACAAGGTATTGATTTTATCTTACTTGCGAAGAGAACTTATTTTAACTTATTTATTTTATATTTATATGCGACATTTACATATTTTGCAATTTTATACTACAATGCATGATTACAAATACGGTAAAATAATAAACTCAGTTACATGAACTAAACTTTGAGAAGGGCATCGTGCATCTTATCATTAATTGTTACATGATTAATATTATGAAAATCACATTGAATGTCAATGTTTTACATAAGTTATAAGATGTGACGATTAAGCATCATGCGGCAATAAGGTGCATGATGCCTATCTCTACTGATCTAATTGATATAGCCTTATGGCCCCAGGTTCGACTCGATTGCATGCATAATTATAAAACTAACTAATCAACTATGGCACTATATTATATTTTATATTATTGCTATATTTACCTGTGAACTTATTTACTATTATTATCTAGAGTATGTACGTACGTTCGTTGTGAAAATTTACCCTACGTTTAAAAGTCACCATGATACATTACTATAACCAACTTAACTACTCTAACTCAACCCTAATAGCAGTAAGGCTTCGATTGAGGTATGGATAGACTTGGCCCGAGTAACTAGGGTCGAAATAGAGCTCTAAATTATGTCACAAGGCTCTAATATGAAATCACGGGATTTGGACTTTAATAGTTATCGGTTTATAATAATAACCAGTTTATACAATTATCTATCAGGGGGATGACACTTCTACTCTAATTTCGAAGGTTATTACTCTACAACATTGAACTCTAAAGCTTTAAACTCCACTAGGTTCTTGCTTCCAAGACTTACTTTATTGCGAAGACAAAGGACATCATATTTATACATTTTACATGACTGCGCTAATTCTACTCTTAAGTTATCATTCGATATATTTAATAAATCGGATATCCGATATGTTGCATAAATTCAAATTTATCAACTCTTCAAACCGGGTGAAACAGGTAACTCGTTTACTATTAAGAAGCTACAGTACTATATTCGGGGTATGTCAACTCGGCGTGACTTTATACCGTCACAACGTACAATATCTGCTATATGTGAAAATAAATACAAACCATAATTATTACACATAGTAAAATTATTACTTGTAATAATTGTAATAATGATCAGTGGAAATGTCCCTTGATTTTTCGTGTAACATATTCTTACTATAAGATCTATATGCAACATTTTACACATTTTATTGAAAAAAGTACGAAATGCAATTTTCGTCTCTATAGTAACTCTACTACTTTACAATTTACCGCATGTTTGTATTATAATGTTTATGGCACATTGAGTCTTTCTTTCCCCAATAATAAGAATAAAGTTCTTAACAAATTAAAAACTGAAAAAGATCTTCCATTTAAAAATGGGCGGAGTACGCTAGTGAATATTTGCTCTTGGAAATAGTTATCAATATAAAATTGGAGTCAAACAGAATAAATATAAAGTGAGGCACATAGTGGAATATATGTACTGGTAGCTGTCATAGAAACAGAAACTGTTATAAAAATGGAATTGGTGTTGAAGGCATAGGCATGATCAAAAACCAGGGCACGTTAGTAAATGGTTATTGTTATGATGAGATAATTGAAATTGAAAAGAATGAACATAAAGCATTCGTTCATTATCAAAAAACTGCCAATGTAGGTTATACATGCTAACGTTAAAATAGGAAGATAGCACTGAGAATGATTTCAGTTTACTGGACTCTATTTTTTTTTTTTGTCCTTTTTCTTTAGTACTGTAGTACTGTAATAAGATAATATTCTCTGAAATAAGGCAAAAAGGTTTGTACATGTATCCGGTTATTTTCTTAACTATTTTTCTTTAACTAGCATCTAACCAATCATTTAATCGTTCTTATATATTTATTAACGCAAATACTTTTAGATCTGGCGCATCATTATGTTGAGGCTTATTAATATTTAAAACTTCAGGAAAATATAAAGATATACGTACACGGTTATGCACACCATATAAAGTGGATCTTAAAATACTGTTGTTAAATTTTAGGATCCGGCTTTTTATATAACTGTTCATTTCTGATGCAATACTTTATACTATAATTGTAATATTTGTATGAATTTGGCATGTGACATCAATGTCAACAATTCTCAGGCCTTACTAAACACGAATTTAATAAAATCATATGTAAATTTAGGATTTTTCAAACACCAGTATATTTGATTCAAGCTTAGAGGCATGTCCATAAACTTCAAATCTCGAAAGGCAGATTTCCGAAAGGACGCAATACTGACAAAGTTAGTTATAATGCCGCCTGATTTAGTTGGTATTATGTTCTTTTCGGGAAAATGGCTTTTGGGATTTCACGGTAAAATCCTTTGTGTGCCACCTTAATTTGGTTATTAATTTTATTTTTTTCCTTTGAGAATTGGATCTAAATGCTTACAATCTAAAGTTAAATTTGGATACGCAAACTATAAATCGCCATAAGTATCTCCCCGAATATAACATACAATATGTATAGTACTGTATGTAGCACAATACTAATCAATAACTACTATATCACATACTTACAAAAATGTGTATACGTATGTTGTTACGCCAGGATCGGGAGAGCAATAATTTCGCATGGCAGATTGGCTTCGAGCGTAGCATAATTATGCGAGATGGATGTATTATTAAAGGGCTTGGATTTAATGATAGATAGTTATTAAGGAAAGTAATTTAGTTGGAAGTACTATTTACAATGCAACAATAGAATCTCTCTTCTTTTCTTTATTAGTTCAAATATTCTATTTAATGTTTAATGTTCAAAGGTTTCGAACCCTGATACAAGGTCTCAAACCCGGATCTTGGGTCTCGAACCCTAACGCTAATATATCCTTGAAATAGCAAAAAAAGAAAACATTAAGAATAACACAATCAGACCTCCTTAAATGCAATCCCTAAATGCAACGAATCTAAGAATAACACAATCAGACCTCCCTAAATGCAACCCCTTAAATGCAAATATATCCTTGAAATAGCAAAAAAGAATAACACAATTAGACCTCCTTAAATGCAACCCCCTAAATGCAACGCATCTATACGGTCCCAACTTATATGATACTTTATAAATTTTTACCTCCCTAAATGCAAAATGCAAAATTTTCATATAAGCCCCTCGACTATGCATTTAGGGTACTGTACATATCTTATCCATATGTTATTACATAAATAATACATTTTGCAAATTTATAAAATTGAAAGTATCAATTATTTATCTGCAATTTTTTTTTTAAAAAAAACATATCTACTTAATAATATCATTAAAATGGGTATCCAAGTTTTCATCTTTAATTTTATTCTACTTTTCTTTATTATCATTGTTTCAGGTGATCAACTTCCAAATGCAAAGAAATTACCTGGAAAAAATTACAATAAAATCTCTTCCAAATGTCCATACACTGAGGCCAAAGCCATATTTGATAATATAGTTCATGGTTTTGTGGTTTTCACTCAAGACAAATACGGCAATACTCAAGTCAATGGTATTTTCAGAGATGGACTTATAAATCCTCCATATCAATTTTATATTACTGATAAATGTGGAAACGTTATTAGAAATATCACCCAAGATTTGAATGTTAAATATATTAATAATGGAACCAAACCTTTCAGTGCAAAGCTTATTAGCCTTAACCTTAATTGTAATAAAAATGGGATTCTATTCGCTAATTGCGGCGATCCATATCATAATTTAAAAAGGCAAGATGATGGTTTTCAAATGAGTTTTTATGAAAACGGATTTATTTATTATCAAGCAAATATTGGTTTAATTTAATTTATACCATTTATTAAATAGAGCCCAGTAAACTGAAATCATTCTCAGCGCTATCTTCCTATTTTAACATTAGCATGTATAACTTACATTAGCAGATTTTTGATAATGAACGAATGCTTTATGTTCATTCTTTTCGACTTCAATTATCTCATCCCAGCATTATGTATTTCACTAGCGTGCTCATCATAGCTAATGTTTGATAATAAATGTCTATGCTTTCAACTCCAATTCCGTTTTTATACTATAACAGTTTCCATTTCTATAACAGTTACCAGTGCATATATTCCACTAGCGTGCCTCGCTTTATGTTAATCCTGTTTGACTCCAATTTCATATTGATAGCTATTTCCAAGAGCAAATATTCACTAGCGTACTCTGTCTCTGCTGATTTTTAACAATGTAAATATGTATCTTAGACCCGTGATAAATAATCATAAGGTATTATTACCAAATTTTAAATAGATCTTTTTCAGTTTTTAATTCGTTAAGAATTTTATATGTATTATTGGGGAAAGAAAGACTCAATGTGCCATAACATTATAATACAAACATGCGGTAAATTGTAAAGTAGTAGGGTTACCATAGAGACGAAAATTGCATTTCGTACTTTTTTCTAATGTGTAAAATGTTGCATGTAGATCTTATAGTAGAATATGGTACACAAAAAATTAAGGGACATTTCCACTGATCGATAATAAATACTACCTGTAATAATAATTTTGCATTATTACATGTAATAATATTTACGACATGTAATAAATATTATTACAATTACTACTTTTTGTAATAAATAATTTTTACATTATTACATCTTGCAGTTTGAATTATGGCGCCATTCATTAATCAAATGTCAGTTTAATTTTACAAAAGCGTTCATAATGTATCTATTAATAATTATTTAATGATAATGATAAATATTAATATATGTTGGATTATATTTTAGGTGGAAATTATGAAGGACTCTCTGACAAATTGGCAAAAGTTGGTAAGAACTATAGATGCTGGTGAAATATGGTGAAATTGGTGAAATTAATTTCATCAGCATATAAAGTAAGAACATTTAAGATAGAGCATGGGTGCAACTCCGATAAAGGCTTTCAATATTGAAGACTGTGAATTTATTGCCCTTGAACTTTATAAATTTAATCTTTACACTTTAGAAACTTCATCTATTAATAATTTATCTAGAAATAGGACCATATATTTAAAAGCTCAATTAGGCATTCAAAATACAGTACTACAAACTTGGGTTTTTCGATTGAACCAAAAAATACGACAGCATAATTGTGAAGAAACTTCAAAAAATAATACCGTATTTGCGCGTTATTTCGAGACGCACATGGCCGCTATTTTTGAGCTAAACAAAAAACGATTTTCAAAAAAATGAGAATTTCGAAATAACGCGCATGTGCGTTATTACGCGCAAATATGGTAGAAGTTAGATCCAATGATAAGTTTATTTATACAATAAAAGAAGCGCTCCATTCGAAAAATCCAATTAAGTTAAAAAAGTTACTGAAGAATTTGGTGGAAAACTCCATGCAAAGCGATAAAAAATCCTTTTCAGAAGCCTAGATATTTATTGACAAGGTCTGGAGATTAAATATAAAACTGATGTAATTACGAAATGTATCACACAACGCCAAGTCTAATTATTTTGGTGATGATAAGATAAAAATATTTCAGGGCAAGAAAGATGATTGGATATCTTCATTACAAGACTTTAGGAAATAATCGAATCGAAAATTATTTTCATGCTCTACAATTTCGTACCCAGTCAATCAGATAATCATTATAATCACCAAAAACACGAATCACTATCTAACAATAGCAATTAATATATAATTTTTATTAAGTTAATTAAGAGAATTTTGAAGTGGACATCCAGATTATCTTATATATTCCAGAGCATAATCTTGTGCATGCGTACACATTTTTAATATGCAAACTTTTTTTTTTCATGAGATATACCAACAAGATTAATTTTAATGTATCGGAATTTTTAACCCCGCAGAAAATTTCTAATTTGAGTCTGGTATAATAAACATTTAATTCAAGAATATTCGTTTAATAGCACCCGTATTACTGTATTTACTGTATTAAGTGCAAAATTTAATTTATTTAATAGGGATTAAATCGATGAGTTTCTTGCGTTGTTTGCACAATAGAATTTCGAACATCAATTAACTGAAAATTCCAATGCTCATTGAGTTTTTTAAAACAACAAAATTATTATGTTACATTCCGCGTCATTTTTCATTATTCAGCTCTTCACCGACGTGTTCATTTTAAAATCGATATCCATTTACTGATTAATTAAAAAAATTTGTGCTAAAAAAAACAAACCTAAATAAATAAATATTCATGTAATTTTAGCAATGTGATTTGAAATTTCCCATTCACTGCGTAAAGCACATCCATATTTATTTTCGACCCGTTCAGTTGCTTGATGTGCTGCACGAATTATTTCATAAAAATTTTCATTATAGCGAATTTGCGTTCCTAAAATTAATTCTAACTAACTTGCTCAAGTATTGCAGTTCTTCGGTCGTACCAATCCGAATATTTTGAAAGTATTAGCCACCCATTATTTGGACGTTTGTTTGCACTAAAAGTATGGATTTTTTAAATTTAGACACTCTTTCTATCCATTAAATGTTGCTTATTTTTTTATTATTGAAGCCTCTAATAATCGATCAAAAGGTTTACGAGTCATGAAGCTATATTTTGCATATATTAATGAAAAATGTAATACGCAACGAAAGAAAGTAATAAACAAAAAAAGATCGGTCCGAGTATACTGAATAAAACAAAAAAGATCGATTCAAGTATGATGAAATAAAAAAAAATAATAATATAAGACACTAAAAGGAACTATTTAAATTTATTTTCTTTATTATAAATATGGAATTATTACTACAGGTTTTTTCGACCTATTTCGTTTTTTAACCAATCAAATTCGTGTTTCAATCAAATTAGTATATTTTAATTTATCATTTATAACTCATTATCTAGTGATCCAATTTTGATGAAAGTGGTACTATTCGAATCCTCTCTATGAGAGGATTCGAATGGTATTACTTTAATCAAAATTGGATCACTAGATAATGAGTTATAAATGATAAATTAAAATATACTAATTTGATTGAAACACGAATTTGATTGGTTAAAAAACGAAATAGGTCGAAAAAACCTGTATTAGTAGTTTGTTACATTAAGGGTGTTCTCAAGCATCTTAATTGATATAGTGATAAGCGTTAATAAAGCAACTGCGCGATATTGCCAGGAACATAAGATATAATCTTAGAGTTACATGTAAGGTTGAATACTAATTACTTAAAATTTGGGTTCGGAATTTAGCTTATTTCGAAAATAAGTAGGAGTGTAAAAAATCCTATTTTCAGTTTAAAAAATCCCATTAGAAAGCGTACCCGTTGATGAATTAGCTTTATTGATAAATATCTACCGGATGTAAATAAGTATATACTTTTAAAAATAGGATTTATAGTCACTTATTTTAAAATAAATGTGTCTAGGGTGATTCATAAATAACATATTTCGAAAATTAGTGAGGTACAGTACAAAATGTCCTATTTCTGTTTTAAAAATTTGAAATCAGAAAAAGAAATAGGAGCTATCCGGAGTAATCTTTTTTTTTTTGATGATGTATACATTATTGGGGCAAAAATTGGCAATTTGGCAAATGAACACGTGCCGCAAAGCGGCACGTGTAGCCAATCATTTGTCAAATTACCGTATTCGACAATTTTTGCCCAATAAGTTATCCGACAATTTATGATCATGGAGTTACTCGCTGAGTTTTCAATTTTGAATATTGGAATAAAATAATTACATCTTAACACATGAAAAAAAAATAACAAAAAGAAATTTTTTCATGATCATATGAGTTTGTCGGATAATGACTTGTAAATCATGATCATAATTGCACGATAACATCGATATTGGATCATGCGATGGTCCCAATATCTTATAAATACTATCGTAATAAATTAATAAAGAGCTACAAATAAATTATCGCTTAAAAACTTTTTTTAAAATTCTTAAATATTACATATTTATTTTCGAATTATTAATATTTAATAAATGCCTCCCAAAAAAACTTTATAAAAAAAGAACTCGAGAAAAAATCATAAAAACTTGATAGCTTTTTCACGAATAGTAAGATATCGATCTAATTCAATAGTTTGCAATAGTACCAACAATTCATCGATTTCTTTTTCGAGAATATTAGCTATATTTTTATGAGTACTATTAGAATATTCTTTTATTATACTATTTATGTCTTTAATATGTAATTGTCGATCAGAAATATAAGGCATTTAAAATACAGTATATATGAAAAGATATCAAATCTCGAAAGAAATTTCACGATCATATAAAGTACTAATTACTATTATTATTATATAAATAAGCTTATAAATCAAAATATATGATTTCGAAATAAATACATCACTAATTTAATTCGAAATCAGAAACCCGAACCTTAATTCTGAATGACCCCATTTGAAACAAGTAATTCAATAAAAATGACAAAAGGCGAATTATATTTCCACACCCCTTTTTTTGATATTTCCACACCTATGTAAATCACTTTTTTAAAAACCTTTAATCGAAGGTATCTCGACAACCACCGGATCAAATTCGATGAAATTTTTTTTTATTAGAATTCTACAATTATGCAGAATTCAAATAAAAAAAA